CCGGGATCATGACCTGAGCCGAAGGCAGTCGCTTAACCAACTGAGCCACCCAGGCGCCCTATTCCCAGCAATTCTATTCTTAGATATATACCCCCAAAAATTGAAAAGTTATGTACACAAAAACTTGTATAAAAATGTTCATAGCAGCATTATTTACAATAGCCAAAAAAAGGGAGATAACCTAAATGCCCATCAGCTAATAAATGAATAAACAAAATGTGGTATCTCCATAGAATGGAACATTATTTGGCCATAAAAAAGGACAAGGTACTGATACATGATGCAACATGGATGTACCTTGAAAACATCATGTTAAGTGAAAGAAGCTAAGTGAAAAAAAGTCACATATTCTTTGATCCCATTTGTACTAGATGCCCAGAATAGACAAGTCTGTAGAGACAGAAGGTAGATTTGTATTTATCAGGCACTGAAGAATAGGACGTGAGTGCTGATGGATATAGAGTTTCTTTTTCAGGTGATGAAAATGTTCTAGACTTGGTGGTTACATAACTCTGTGAATATACTAACCACTGAACTATATACTTTTAAAAAGGTAGTTTTATGGCATGTCAATTATAATGCAGTAAGGCTATAAAGTATGTGGTGATTACAACCTATTTACTGAGTCACTAAAAGAACCCTCGTACTCTGCTAAAGGGTGATAGGATCCAGTTCACCTTGTACATGTATCAATCATCCTGAAAGCTACTTTTGAACCAAAAATTTTGTTTCAAGACATCACTCTTACTATGGTTAAAAAAAAAAGAAAACAAAATATTTTTTAAACGTAAATATATTTAAAAAATTAAAACACCTAAGAAATGCAGTCTATACATATGAAAAAGTAAAATATTTATATGCATAACAAGTAGTAGCAACATCATTCATAAGCAGCAGTTAGTGTTTATTTTCCCCATATTTTGGTTTAACACCATAGTGGTAGTTTATTCTTCTTAGGGAAATTGCGTAAGATACATATAGCATATGATGAGTAAGTTATAGAAGACTGTGTAATTGGAAAATTAATTCTAAGTAACAATATTCCCTCTAAAAACACATTTATTATTAAACAAATTATTTTAAACTAGTGGACAATAAAATGTGCCTATAACTTATTAAGTCCAAGATATATAGTCAAGTTGCATAAAATTACATATGGCATTTTAAAAACAGCCTATTTCTAAAATATCAGTAATTCAGGCAACTGGGATTTCCACAGGAGATAAATTGCCATTAATTTCCTTTCTATGATGAAAAGGTCTGCCTTAAGAACATTACAATCATGTTAGTAGGAAATGCTATAGCATACTTTAAAAATCAAAACATATGCATTAGGATATTCTTTTATGGGTCCCAGCCCTATAGCAGCATTTCAGATGGAGATTTAAATCTAGTTAACCACATTTCCAAATGACTTGGGTTTTTATTTTCTAGAAATACAAATCACCTGTGTAGGTTAGTTAAGAACTTAAATTTCCATTATAAATGAGAAACTATCATACTGATAATGTAAAGATAAAAGAAATAAAGTACTTGGATAGTCTAGTACTTTATTAGAAATATATCTAACTCCACAAAAACAAATTTTACATGTAAGCAAAATACTAAAAATTTCTGATTTGGGAGAAATAAAATAAAATACAGTAAATGGTTGTTTCTTCATCTCTAACTGTAAAAATCCCCTTTGCCTATTTATTTGACCCGTCTCTATTCATGCAATTTAATGAATCCTCAAAATAATTTACACATCTTTATACAGAATTCACATCTACATCAGTAAACTGCCAGTCCTTTTATATTTTCAGTACCTTATCAAAATATGGGTAACAAAGTTTTTCATTCTATGAGGCAGGAAGATGTTTCCTAAGTACTTCTTTGGATGATGAGGATATAGTATCTGGGAAGGACACGTCAAATTCTATTAGAAGGTCGCCACGCTGGTCAGGATTTTTTGGAAACGGCAGCCCATATCCAATAATTCTTCTCCTCATTCCAGGCTTCACAATATCATTTATTGACATAGGTATAGTTCTTCCATCCATTGTTGGCACATTAACTGAGCAGCCACACAATGCCTGAAATAGACCAAATAAAATTAACAAACTTCAGAACTTCAAAAACTCAACAACAACAACAAAAACTGGGTGTGAAGGATGAAACCACTAAGGTAAAATTTTAACCTCCAAAAGAATATCAATAATTATAAGACTTTTTCCCTATTAAAAGATCCCTTTAGGACATGCATGATCAGACATACTACAAAAGAAGGAAAGGAGGAGGGGAAGGGAAGGAAAAGGAAAGAGAAGTAAAGGATGTCTTCCACATTGCCTTGAAATGAAATGGAATGTTTGAGGTTGCCATTACAATGTTAAAGATGCAGGGATGGAACTGGACAAGAAAAGAGGGAGAAATTTAGGAGTGAGAGGAATAGGATAAGAGCAGCTACCTACTTCTTTGGAAGGAAAAATGTTAGGATAAGAAATACATTTATTGATTTAGTCAACAAATGTTTACTGAGTGTCTACTATATGCCACACATTCCTGCTAGATGCTGAGCTTAGGGACCATGAACACAGACCCCACCTCAGGGAATGCACAAGGAACTCAGAAGCAAACCGGTAATAATAATACAGTATAACGTGAGCACAGAGGTGCAGAAGTCTTTTGTGAGACAAAGGGCACCCAGCTTACCCTCCCCACCTTTAGCTTCTGAGAGTACAGAATGCTTGAGCTAAACATTGGACCAGTAGCAGGTTTTGAGGCAGAGTGAGGAACAACAGTGTTCCATAGATTAGAATTTAGACGATGACATAAATGTATGTAAGATAATAATAGAGCAAACTTAGGAAATGCATAAACATTTATGGGTAGAAATCAGATTTAAAATGACCTTCATTTTAAGCTAAAAAGTCTGGACTTTATGGTAGATACTATGTGGGATCATTTAAGAATTTTAAACAGGGAACTGACATGGCCATGTTTGCAGGATTATAATGCAATTTGAAAAAACAGTGTCTAAAAATAGAACAAATAAGGACTCATATTAAAGCAGTATGCTTATAAATTACTTTAAATTAATCTTTTTGTTATATAATTATTACTCCAAATTAACAATTTTAGAAAAAATCTTACACATGGACTTCAATTACAATGCGTATCTCATAAACCATACCTATAAAAACTGTTAAGCCAGTATTAGGCTTCATAGTACATAATCTGGTTAGCACTTCAAGTTGGCATTTAAATTGCTAATACAGGTAACTAAACTTAGAAAATATAATCTTATCCATAAAAGAGATATAATAGTAGTACTACCTCTGGAGGGTGCTTATGAGAATTTTAAAAAATAACATATACTAAACATTTAATAAATATTAGCTATTATTTACATAAATTCCCTAAGATCGAATGCATAATTCTGTTTGGTTTCAGAATCCCAGGTCCTACTAACTTACCTCTCGTAAACTAATTTTAGCAGTGTAAATTATATTTGATCCATCCCTTTTAAATTTTGGGTGATCTTTATCTTTAATGATAAAAACAATGTCTGCTGGGATACTAGTTGGTGTTTCATCTCCTTCCCTTGGAAAAGTAATTTTGGTGCCTTCTTTCCACCCTTTTTTAATCTCGATGGTGAGAATTTTGTCCTCAGATCTATAACTCCTTCCATCAGGATTTAACCTTTTTCGAGAAATCTTCATCCGTTTGGTACAACCAGTATATATTTCTTCAAGTGATACTCTAAGTTCGTGAATAACTGGAGGATCTTGTTTGATGCGGGATGGCCCCACAGAATTTCTGTCTCTCGGATATCCATTCATGCTGAATCCAAAGGCACTAAAAGGATCTCCATCTACTTCCATTTCATCAGAATCTCTACCACCAGCCATCCGTCTTCCAAAGAAAATTTCAAAGGGGTTGGAACCTCCAAAAAATGCTGCAAATGTGGCATGAGGATCGCCATGAAAAGTGTACCGGAAGGTACCTCCTTGTCCATCAGTACCTCCTGCTCCTCCTTTCAATCCTAAATGAACAGATAAACGTGATTAGAAAAAAGCTTGCAACTCTTGAAAGTTAAACTTGCAAAAATTGTATTACTAATAAACTTTGGCCAACTTAGGTTACAATCTATTAATACTGGCCAGAAATGCCATTATCACTAAATGCAGAACAGCTACCTAACTTTTGACCATTCCATCCTAAGTTAAATTTTTAGCTTTCAAATTCTTCCTCCAAATCCCCATCTTTAGTGACAATTTATTCCTGAATCTCTGTTCCACTGGTAAATAAGAAAATAAAACCGGGAACCTGTTATCTCATAAACTACTGGTTGGACAATCTGAAGTATATAAATATAAGTTTTCAAAAGATGTCAATTGAAATAGGTCTTTGGTAATCAATGCAAAATGCATAACCTAAGTCTTTAAGTGCCATTATAATCAGTGAGCATAATCAATAATATAAAATGCCATATTCATACTAACTAGCTTTATTTCAGGTCTTTTATTGTTTAAGAATTAATTAAAATAGAATTCTTTCTGTGGCAGAAAGGGAGAAAATTCTAATAGGACACCCTATGAAAAATGTTTTTTTAGACTCCAAATTATTATCCCTATTCTATCTAACAAAATTGTTTATCTAGGCATACCATCTGATAGCATTAATTTCAACAGCATGTAGAAAAAAGACTAAAATCAAGTGCTGTAAACCCTCTTGACATGTAAGTCCTTTGGACTGGTTATTTCTGTCTACTGTGGACAACTCGCTTCAGACACCAAGATAGTGACCTTTTTACTCTGTTCTTTATTTTATTTTAAAGATTTTATTTATTTATTTGACAGAGAGAGACAGTGAGAGAGGGAACACAAGCAGGGTGAGTGGGAGAGGGAGAAGCAGGCTTCCCGTGGAGCAGGGAGCCCGATGTGGGGCTCGATCCCAGGACCCTGGGATCATGACCTGAGCCAAAGGCAGATGCTTAACGACTGAGCCACCCAGGCGCCCTGACCCTGTTCTTTAAGGTTCAACTAAGTAATATGTAGCTCACAAGTGATCACATATTTGACGCAGCATTTTCCATTATATACCAAAGAAAGTTTCTATTAAAACCCACAAAACATTAGTATAGTGATCTTTTAAGGGATCAATACTGACAAGGATTTATATCATTACAGTAGTAGCAAAGTTTCTGAATGAGCCTTATGGGCATTCCTGATGAAGGAAACAAGCAGGAAGAAAATCTAAAAATTTTAAAACTGTGATAAATCCAAAGGATTAAACTAAGAGATTCTAGTATGTTCAAACAGTAATTTGAGGGCAGGAAATATCTTTTATTCATTTTTGCATTGCTCATGTATACAGGGTGAAAATGATAGGGGCTCATATTTATTGAATAGAGAATGAACTAGTTCTTAAAGTCTATTTAAACTTTAAAAGGTGTCGAGTATCAGGATAGAGAAGAGGCAAAAGCAAAAGCAATATAAAGTATAATCACACATACACATATGAGACTTAATAATAAAAAAATTATACTCAGCATGCTTTCAAAGAGACTTAGTTCTGCATGTTTTATTCTATTTGGCTTCTTCCATTAAAAGGTATACATATATTCTTATTTCATCCAACAGTGTCAGCTGATGTTTACATTTTTACCTTCATCCATGAATAGAAATCTGGAGAGACCAAGAAAAGTCTAATAATCTGAAAACTGTCAAAATATGAATTGAATGATATATCCAAAGAGCAGTTAGGATATCCCTTATAGAAACAGAATGGCAAGTATAAGCAGAACAAGGATATTAACATGCAGCTCATACATACTTCTTTTTATAAATTTTAGTGGTACAGTTATAACTCCAAATGTTAAAAAAAAAAAAGCTAGAGACAGATTTTTATATATGATAGATTACGTATATAACTCAAGGTCATGACCAGTGTGACTAAACCAATGCTTAAATTACTTTAATCATTTCATCTTTCATCCCACAAATATAACAGAGCATAATAGTTTAACAGAGAGTTAATAACATAAATTGAGTAAATTAGCTTGCCCAATCTAACTCTCTACAAGACAATATCTAAATGTTTGGACTCATAATAAATTCATGAAAAGAAGGAATAACATTTTAAGTTATTATATTATGGGTTTGGCTTTTCCCTAAAACCTCTTCCCTCCTCTGCCAAAAATGGTAACTCAATCAGGATTACAGAGTCCCTGAGAAGATTCACACAGTCTGATGTGGCATTTATCAAAGCGGACAAAAAGGCTCCAGTGAAGCTTTGAGGTTTTCCTTGACACTAAACAGTCAAGTACATAGCTTAGCTAAAGGACAAGGCTACTATATAAGTGACCGCAAAAATCCTACCAAAATTCTCAACAGTATAACATGAATTATTATGCAAGTACTGCTTTGCCTAGCACTCGAATTGTAACAGGCATGTTATCAACTATACGGTCAACTCTTTATTACATACATTTTGACTGCTTATGGAAAATTTAATATTCAATTGGATTCCCTCTGCTCTCCAAAATGTTTTCTAGACACCATCATCACTTTGCGTGATCAAGGAATATGCTCTAGAATCAACATCTGCCTATGCTGTAGAAAGACTGCTATTATCTAAAACCAACCAACCCACCAATTTGCAATCCAAAAACAAATATATGTTCGGTATACTATCTATAACCATGATTTCCACTAGTTAGTTGAAAGTGTGTCAAAAGAAGCAGCACTGGAGAAGAAGTAGGATTTAAAAGAAAAAAATTATAGGACTTTAATAACTCATACTTTAAGGAGATCTGATATGTAAAAATCTAGATTTATAGCAAGACTTACAGAGTTACTAGCATAATGAGAACCTTTAAGCAGCTTTGACTCACAAAAATCCAACTTATTTTTAAAAACACATAGTAAATAAAAAGAGATCCAGTTGATTAAATATGGAAACTAAAGAACTGAAGAAGCAAGCTGGTATAGATTAATATACTAAACACAAGTTTGATCATATAAATACTACCTTTCAGTATTTAAAGAAAGTTATTGAGTAAACTATAAACCAAAAAAAGGCATAAGGAAAAAGAACTGTTAGAGAACTAGGATACTGTAAGGATGTGTTACTAAAAGATTTTTTTTTTCAGTCTTTTAATACAAACTTCTGTTGACATCCACTGAACAATTCAGAACTAAACCTAAAACCTTCTGGGAGAGACAGGTTTAAAATCCAATTTTCAATTTACATAGTTGTATTTTTTTGTTTTCAAATGATTCAACTATGGAGAACATTTCTCTCTTTTTAAAAATAGCTTTGCTTATTACACACTATAAAATTAACCCATTGCAAATATGTAATTCAGTGATTTTAATAAAGTTGTAGAGTTGTGCAGCCACCATCACAATCCAGTTATCGATCATTTCCATCAGCCCAATGAGTTCTTTGTTTCTATCTGTAGCTAAGCCCTGCTCCCACTTCTAGCACTAGGCAACCCACTCATCTGCTTTCTTTCTCTACGAGTGTGCCTTTTCCATGCATTTTATATAGATGGAATCATAGAATATGTAGCCTTTGACATCTGACTTCTTTTATTTAGCATAGTTTTTGAGGTTCATCCATGTTGTAGCATGTTTTATTATATCAATCCTTTTAATTGCTAAGTAGTATTCCAGCATGTACATGTGTGTGTGTGTGTGTGTGTGTACATATATGCCACATTTTGTTTATCCATTCACTTAATGATAGTACTTTTAAATTGTTCCCAATTTGGGGCCATTACAAATAATGCTGCTATGAATATTCACATACATGTCTTCTTGTGGACCTATGTTTTCATTTCTCTTTTATAGATATCTGTGAGTGGAACTGCTGGGTAATATGGTAAATTTAAAACATCTCTATTTTTATCCAAATTTTTTTAAACCAAGCCTTTAAAATTGTGGATATTAGAGATTTTCAAAACATGAATAAACTGGATCACTGGTTCTCTTACTTTCTAACTATATAAATTTAGCTTGTTCAACTCATACACTTTTCAGTTCGTAGTTCCTGTTCCCATTGTCCCAGGCCTTGAAAGAGAGTGTAATAACTGGAGGGGGGTAAGGAGTATATTACATAAATTACTAATAGCCCCACAGTCCTAAAATTCAGTATTTTGTTACTACTGGAGAAACACGTTGGGTGATGGAACCAGGCCTGCAGGCATAAACTGACCAATGAATGGCAAAGAGAAAAAATGTTTTCCCATTTAAACAGTATACCTAAAAGGAATTTTTCCAAAGTATAAATGAGCTATTCTGAATAAAGAGCAAATAAACATAATGCTTTTCTGTAAAGGAAGAGTAATTTCTAAAAAATAGCCAAATAATTTTCATTTAACTATATTCTCAAGTAACTCATAACTAGAGAGTATTTCTGAATATATTTCAATGCTTCAAAACACTTATTCTTCCCTATTACCTCTATTGCTTATATCAATTCTCTGAATCAAGAACAACAAAAAAAAAGATTCAGGGTACACAGATGATACTGCTTTCATTTTTTAAAAATTCATTCACTGATAATGATCAGTAAAAGTCAACCTAGAGAAACATCACTCAAGAAAAACACTACTAAGAGGTAATGTTAAGCCAAGAAAAATGTATCATGTGATGACTTGAAAATTCTGAAGATAAATATCCTTAGAAAACACTGAATCCTATGGCTTAGTTATAAACAAACTTGAGCTAGCAGTGAGATGTGGTTTAAGCAGGGGCTATCTGCTTTTACAGGGGAATGTTTGTGGATTTCTTTACAAAATTACAAATAACTTCTTTAGAAGGAGTATATTGTTTGTAGTATCTCAGAATCCTGCTTAGCTTTTGAGATGAACCTAATCATAGTATTTTGATTAGTAAGGCCATAAGAAACAGGCAGAATCGAACTGGCCATTGCGTGCCTTTTTCAATACTGACTTTGTAAGAACCTGACACAGCAGGTCCTCATCACACCAAAACCAAGAGCAGAAATAGCAATTTTTGGCAACTCAAGTCAAAAAGAAAAACAAAACAAAGAAAGGAAAAAGAAAAAAAAAACCTTTACACAATCACCCTGCTTATATAAATTTAGTTTTTTAACTCAAAATGAGCAGTTACTGCTTCACTGTATTTTAGCATATATCTGATTAGGAAAACTTTATGTTAAATACGATAAAGGAGGCAAAGAAATAAAGAAGATTTCATAACTACAATGATTTAAAAGAGAATATTTTGGGAGAAAAAAATTAATAATGAAGTAACTTAATTCTGATTCAAAATGTTGAAAATTCCAGAATCTGTAGGAATTAAAGTGTTTTTGTTGTTGCTGTTAATTAGCAATTTAAAATAGCCTTACTTTATAGCCACATTTATATGGAAATGATGGACAAACTTAATTTAAAATACAGAACGATAAAGGGATAATCTTAATAACCCCCATTTACTGTACTCAACTAGTTTCTGATCTCACGATGAAAGAAACAAAAGTATGGCAGGGAGAGCAAAGGGAAGTTGTCATGCTTTCCTCTATACCTAGGTAGTAAAATTTCTGAAGACATAATGTGACCTGTAAGTAAATCAATAACTGTTCTAATGAGGTGGCCATTTTAGGTCAAAAACTGTATTTCTGAGATCTCATTTTCTTGGCACACAATTACTGTTTACAATTAAGCTAAAAACTTGTTCTGGTATTTTATGACATCAGGAAAATTCTTTCCTCTCCAGGCAAAACGCCAAAAACAACCAGAACTAAATGCCTGGGCCTTCTGCTTCTCAGAGAGAAGATTCTATCTTGTTCAATCTAAATTAAATTGCTATCAGAGAGGCAAAAAACTTGTTTTGTTTTTGTGAATAAAATATAAACTACCCAGAATTTGAACTGCCAATCTTAACATTTTAAATGAGTGAAGGACCTTTAGTGGTTCCGGCAGAAAATTCATTAGAAAACAAAACAGGTTGCATAAGACTTTTGACACAATTCATTAATGGGTATGGGAATGTGATGTTTCTTTTCAAATATACAATGTTAACGTTATAAATCTAATGGCAGAAGATATATATATTACAAAATGCCAAAATCAAGAAAAAGGCAAACAAGTATATTTCATTCACAGCTATGTAATAATATTCATTCAGATGATCTAAAATAAAATCTTATTTTTATCCATTATTTGTCTTTCTACTTTGATGTCTGAGAATTTAAAGATAACCAGAAGGCTGAAAGAGCGGGGGGAAAAAGAGAGAGAGAGAGTGAGACAGAGCTGGAGAGACCAAAAGATATACACGGAATACTTACCTTCCTCCCCAAACTGATCATATATTTCTCTCTTTTTAGGATCACTCAATACTTCATAAGCTTCTGCGACCTCTTTAAATTTTTCCTCTGCTTGAGGAGATTTGTTCTTGTCCGGATGAAATTTGAGGGCTTGTTTTCGGTAAGCCTTTTTAATATCTTCATCTGAAGCTCCTTTTTCAATTCCCAAAATGCAATAATAGTCTTTCCCCATTTCGAATGCCTTGAAATGAACTTAGATTTCCCTTTGTGAAAGAAAACAGCGTCCCCAGTCTTAGCAGTATGATTCTAAGAAAAATAAACCAAGCTGGGTATTTTAAAAGTTAAAGCAAATCAGCAATTCAGCTTCGCTGTCTTAAGGCAGCAAGCAAACCACGTCTCTGTATTTAATTCCTCCCTCAAAGGCTCACTTACAGATAAATATACACTACACAGGAGACAGCCTCCTTCTAGATCCTCCCATTTTCACTACGTGTCTCTGTACTTTCTAGAACAGCAAATGCTACAGGACGTCACTTCCCCAGCTGCCTCTAGTCAAAGTACTGAGCTAGGTTTTCTCCTCCTCCACGATTAACTATTCATTTTCCTTCTGGCTCTCCCATTTTTATTTCCTTTTTAAGAAGCTGAGTGGATTCAAAAACCAATATTTCAGCATAGCAGGTCATAACTACATATTTATTTACTCTATTGTAGGTGAAAAAACAAAAATAATTACAGCCATTAGGCATCCTATGTTAAAATAAATTAAAAGTATTATACAAATAAAGGTACCCTTGAACTTATTTTAGGTATTTTAATTTTAATTTCAAGTTATCCAAATGTAAGATATACAATACTAAAATCTGGTTTGTTTAAATTAAAATTTTCAGATAATTTGTGTCATTTTTAGAATTCCTGGGATCTAGCAATCAGAAATGCCAAGAAGTCAATATGCCAATTTCACATTGTAAAAGGCTACATATCATTAACATCAAAAGCAATAAGGGATTTAAATATTATTTTAGCTAGTGGTTTTAACTAGTTTTTTGTAGTATACAAGAGTTAATAGTCTGGCAAACTAAATATTTGTGAAAGCTTCATATCTGATTTTAGTTACTTCAGCAAAAACAGAATGAGATCCCACTTTTCCCCCCCTCCCCGCCTCCGCCCAATTCCTAGGGTCACTATTTAAAGAATTTTTGTGCTGCAGGAAAGATAGAAGACAAGTATCAGGTTACAGACAGTAAATACTCATGTTTCTTATAAGACCTTGACTGGATCATTTTAAAATCCGGATATGCTATTTATGGGGCAGTGATATGAGAAGTATTTTTTTCTTTTAAAAACACATTTCCCTAATTATAAATAGCAATACTCATTGCTGAAGATTTTGGAAAACACAGAAGGAAAAAAGAAGAAAAAAGTATAAAATGAAAACCTCCCTATCATACCACTTTAGGTAATCCCTGCTAAATGTTAGTGTATTTCCTTCTAGTCCTTTTTTTCTGATAGATATTTATGTTTATTTGTTGTAGTTTTGTATATTTTTGGTAACAAAGTTTATGCCCTATCATTTATATACCCTTTCAATGTCTGCTTTTATATATATATGTATATATATATGATACTTATGAGAAAAATTTTCAATGTATATTACTCATCTTTTAGCTCCTATATTGTTATGTCATCTTTTCAAAAATGTTCCCATTTCTAATATGGAAAGATGGATTAATAAGAAAATATGAAAAGAATTGCACAGAGCCCTATAAATACCTTAAATCTGTAAGCTTAAAAGAAAAACAACATGTAAAGGAAAAGTAAATGTACATATATGTTTAGAATATGATGAAAAGTTAATGATCACGTGTTAACCTTTAAAGATATGGAAACACCTACTCTATATGCCAAGCAGCTTTACATTCATGATTCAGCAATTCTTTCGGAACGTTCATCTTTGTACATTTGACAGCTAGGATTTCCTATTTTTCAAAACTCTCTCCTTTAAAAATACTTTGGTTTTAGAAATGTATAGCATCTGTCTAGCCTATTTACAGGTTACAGAGGTTTGTCAGCTAGCTATTCAAGCAAATTTTTTAGTCCCACCAAGGAATACTCAATGTCAAAAGGTTAACCATTCAAATCCAAAACAACTTGGGGAAAAATGCTAATATCCAAAGTCACCTTAAAACTCCTGCTTTAAAAAAAAAATGCAAGTTGAAGTCCAGTGCAATGATCAGCATCTAGAGTAGGGTAAAAATATAACAAAAATCACCTTTTCTAGAA